CCAGAGGCCAGAATGGAGCTCCAACCTTTGTTTTGGATTGCAAAACACCCCTCTTCTCCGAGTCATGGCCCACTTTCCCTCTGATACCCACAAGGTAGAGATAGCCCTTCCTTCTTCCCTCCCTTCCTCCCCTCTCCCCTCCCTTCCTCCCCTCTGCCCCCCCCCCCCACTAGCATGTCACATGGCACAGGCAGGAGGTGCCTGGCCCTAGTAGCAGACGTTGGCAGCAGCAGCTGTTACTGCAGTAAGGCAGAGAGGGATGAAGGGGGTGAGGATGTGGTTGCTAGGAAACAGAAGAAGACAGGGAGTCCAATCAGAGTAGAGGGTTCTAGGGAAACTCCACCCCTCCCAGTTTTCTGCCTTCTTTCCTATTTCCCTTCTTTGCAGGAGAGGGGGTAGAGTCATGGTAGGGAGGGAACAATCTTTTCTTTTTTTACTTCTGGGCACCAAAGAGAGAAAGTGCGGAGGTAGGGGTGGGGGTGGAGTAGGAAATTGGGAGCTGGAAATGGTATGGAAGGAGAACAAGGAAACATGTTCTGGCTCTTCTGTTAATTATTAGTTTATAACCTTAGGCAGATTACTTTAAGTGCTCTGGGCCTCAGTTTCCTCATCTGTCAAATGAAGTTCTCTAAGGTTCTTTCCAGCTTGAAAGTTCTCTCTCTTTTTAAAGTGGGTATATAGTCCAAGACTGGGCAGCTGTAGAGGAAGCTGAGTCCAAGTCAGAGACCACTGGGTAATCAGATAGGTCTAGAAAGGGTGGGAGGGAAGGCTTTGAGGGGAAGAGGGACCGGGAAGGAGCAGAGACTCAGGCACAAAGTGGGGACAGAGGCTGTCTCACCGGCTGGGCAGGCCTCTCGGTTGCAGCAGGCTCCTCAAGCTCTTCCATCAGGTGCTCAGCATCAGGACCTCTGGAGGATGTGCCCCTCAGGACAGGAGTGGCTGAGGGTCCAGGCTCTGAGCCTCCTGGGGCCCTCAGCTGTGGCAAGGGCTCTTCATCTTCCCCCTCTTCCTCTTGAAGACTTCCTGAACTGTCACTGCAGCCTCCGAGGAGTGGAGAACCGTCTCTGGGCCCTGGCCCCTGCATCCCAGCCTCATCCTCAGCTTCATAGCCAGCTAGTTCCTCTGCCTGCTCACCTGGCCCCCCCCACTCCTCGGGCCAAGCTTTGGGGCTAGAGAAGGGACCCCGGTCCCCTCCAGGAGGCAGTGGGCTTCGGCAGGCGGGGGGTCGCCAGGGTTGGCGAGAGGAGGCAGGACTGCTGGGCAGTTCAGGGGAGCCCTCTGAGGGGGTCAGTCCATTCTCATATACCCCAGGGCTGTCCTCATCCAAGGGCTCTGTGTCGGAACCTTCTGAATCCTGCCTGGGTCTGTGGCCTGGGGTGGGGACAGCTCAGAATCAGAGGGGCTTATCTGGCCTTGGGCTCAAAAAGTTAGTTTTATCCCCCTGAATAAGCACCTCCCAGGACTTTGGTATTCCCAAGCCTATAGCCCCTCACTACTAGCCCCCAGCTCCCCTCCCCCATCCTTATTACCTTTCTCCACAAATTCTCAGTCCCACTTCCCAAACAACTGGGCCTGGCCCCACCCTCCATCCCCTTAGACCCTTATCTCTTGGTTATTTGCATTCCTAGTCTCCTACAGGGATTTCCCCTTTCCTAGCACCTGAGCTGTCCAGCTCCTCAGGGGTCTTACCCCCACCCCCAGCCTGCCCACACCTCACCTGGGGCTTCTAACATGGGTTGCAGGTCCTGGGCTATCAGTTTGGCCATTCGAGCTGCCTCCACAGCCTTCTCAGCGACACTGCTGGCAGCCACTGCCTTTAGGAGGGCGTCTGCTGCCCTGTGGGTCCCAGGGGTGAGGATTTAGAAGGCCTTTCCCTACTTCAACTGAGTCCCTGCTCAGATGCTCCAGCCCCCTGACCCACATTCCACCACACCACATCCTCTTGATCTGAGCTCCCCTCTGGAGTCCTTACCCTTCCTCAGCCAGTTACTTCCCTTCCCCAGCAGGTGTGGGCAACTCCCCTTAGGTTTCCTGTCCTGGACCTGGGCTGAGCTTAATGTCATCACACTTTCTTGCTGCTCTCACACCCCTCTGCCATTAAGTCCTATAGTAACACTTCCCTTTTTCCAGCTGCAGGCGCCAGGACCTCCTCAAATGGCTGCCCTCAGCTCCGTTGTTCTCCTGTCCTGCTTCCTTCTCAGTGATAATTGAGACCACACTCTCTTAGCACATCCTTCTGCAGCTGTACCTGCTTAGTGCTTCCAAATAAGCCTGTCACCCTCTTTGCTGTCAGTATCTCCTGTTGTCATGGACTCTTCTCACTGGCCCCCTTTGGATCACACACCTCTCTGTGGGGTCCAGGGCATTTTCCTGGACCTTGTGATCCTGCCCTCTTAGCAGCTGCACCCTTCCCCTGCCCCCTGGCTCTGGACCACCTTTTTCTCTGTGGCAGAAGCCTTTGCTCCCTCCCTGTACCACTCCCATTCCATTTTACTATTTAATCCTACCTCTTCCAGGGCAGATTTCTCGACATGAGAATTTTACATTGTGCTTTCTGCAGTCTCTTCTGTTACCACATCATTCTCCCACTTCCATCACTACCACTGCCCTGTTGCCCCATCTTACCATTTTCTGAGTTCTGGAACTGGAGAAAGGGTAGGACCCCTCTTTCTGCTATTAACACATCCCCTCTCCCTACTAAGATGCGTGCTTTCTCACTATTGTGAGTATACCTTTTGGGTAAGCTCTTAGTCTCCCTTTCACAAACCCCATCCCATCTTGCCCTGCTTCATAGCCAGCTACTTAGGTACAGGTAAGCATGAAACATTATTAATCCTTCCTGCTTCTCAGCTCTCCCTCTGATGTCAGATGCTTCCTTGATTTTCCCTTCCCTTTCACCCTTTGCTATTAATTGCAGATACCTTGTAATCATTAAATTAGTTATTATTTGGACTGAAGGTGGGACACAAAGAAGCAGTGATAGAGGTAATCAGATGTAACTGCCACGGGCTTGAATGGATCAAGATCCTTAACTCCCTCTGGTCATAGACTTGTTTTATCTGGCTTGGAAAGGCAGACCTGGTTATTAGGGGAGGGAGGAGAGGGGTGATGTTCACTGTAGCCGTAGGTCCACCTCTTGGGAAAACATGGTTAGTCTCTTCCCCTCAAATCTGGTGGGTCAAGAATTTTTAAGCCTGCTCGGAGGAACCTCAGATGACCCTGTTCTATCCTAGGGTTTTCAGAGTCTATAGGACCAGCCCTGTACTGAACCTGGGCTCTTCTCAGAGATTGGAGCAGGGTATGAAGATCACTTGGTTGCACTGCATTCTCTTGGTGGCCATGAAACTGGTGCACTGACAAGAGCCTGTGTTTTTGTGTAGGGAGGGTATGGATGATCAAACCCTAGGCATTAGATTCAGTCTATGCTCAGGCATCAGGCCAGGCTCAGGCTACCTGGCAGAGGCACCTGCTGCTGAGGCTCTGCTGTTTCTATGGCAGCCAACAGCCAATCAGGGTTGTCAGGCCTGTTGCTGAGGAGATCAACCAGCCTCCTCCCACTGCCTGATCCTCTAGCTACTGAGATCAGTTTTTCTTGCACACTCCCCCTCCCTATTTAGCCTAAAGTGTTCCCTGGTGCTCTGTCTTCTTCCTTTCCTGGCTTTAGAAGCTGGACTCTAACCACCCAGACATCAGAAACATCTCTCAATTTAATATGTTCACGTTCATACAGATACACATACCTTGTCACCTATTATACTAACTCACTGAAGCACATTTAGACATATCCTGACCTACGCCCTCTCAAACAGTCCGAAATTGAAATACAAAACCCCTCAACTGTGCCCCCTCTTTTAAAGAAAATCCAATATATGAAAACTTGAATGTGTGACTGTATAAATTAGGGACCTGTGAATCTCATTACAAATGGCTTTTTAGCCTCCATTAGATCTGTGCTAATTCAATAGTCACTGACCATATGTGGCTATTAAGCACTTGAAATGTGGCTAGTCTGAATTGGGATGATGTGCTTTAAATGCAAAACACATCAGATTGCAGACTTAGGGGAAAAAAAAAAGAATATAAACAATCTTATTGATAATTTTATATTGATTATATATATATTTAAATGATAATATATTGGATATTCTGGTTTAGTTGAAAATATTAAAATAAATTCCACTTGTTTCTTCTTTTTTTAACATGGATACTGTTATCGTTGTTGTTATGTGCTGTCAAGTCAGACCCGACTCATATCGACCCCTCCTCCTTGGGTTTCCGAGGCAGTATCACTGTGGAAGTAGATTGCCTCATCTTCCATCCGAGGAGGGGCTGGTGGGTTTGAACCGCCAGCCTTCTGGTTAGCAGTCAAGTGCTCTAGGCACTATGCTACCAGAGCTCCTTAACATGGCTACTAGAAGATTTTAAATTGAATGTTTGGCTTACATTTTATTTTTTATTGGGCAGCACTGTTTTTGATAGCAAGGCTCCCAATACATGACAGTGTAATCTGATTTACTGAAAGAAAATTTTATTTACAGACAGATAAATTTTCAGAAATCTTATCAGCTGGGTAAAGGGAAGCAGATGAGGCAAAACTGGGAGAGACTATAAGTTCAGGTAGATGGTTAGCTCTGCTAGAGCTGCACCAAGGCCCAAGGCTGAAACGGTATCAGACTGTGGGCAAGCTGGGGTGTGGCTAGGAATGGACAGTCCCTGTCTCTGTCCTTGGCCCATGCTTCATCAGTCTGCTGCCTCCAGCCTGAGGCCTGGAGGCAGGATCAGCTGAAAGAGGAGGAAGACTAGGGACATGCTGAGCTCTAAGAGGTTTCTGGGCCTGTACACATAGCAACACACATAGCTAGCTACTCCCACACACACCAATGGAGTCCATAGACATACATCTTCACAAAAGACACTGAGACAGTCTTACATCCCTTCCCTCAAATATCTGGCCACCCACAGTCACACCAATAGCCACCTGTAGTCTCAGATATAAACACCAAATACCCAAGGCTGCAACTTCTTGGTCCTAGGCCTGCTCTTCTGTAGGAGGCCCTAGACCGTGGGTCTAGGTTCTCCTTTAGCACCCTGGGCCTTCCCTGTCCTCAGTGCACTCTCCCCTCTTAGCCCAACTTTGGCCTCTGTACACGGCCTCACACCCACCTGGCTGCGGCGATCTCCTGGCGCTGGCGGGCAGCGCTCACAGCTCGACGTGCACCTTCGACAGCCCTGTCCACCTTCTCCTTGACTTTGCCCCGCCGAAGGGCCAGGGGCAGGAGGCTGCGGACACGCCCCCCATGCACCAGCCTGTTGCGCTTGTACTTGCCCTCTTCTCTAGAGCCGTCGGGGCGGGTGGTGCGCCCATAGCCGTGCCGCCGGTTGCCCAGCCACTCGCCCTCATAACGCAGCCCGTTGGAGCGCTGGCTCACGCCATAGCCGCTGCGCCGGTCTGCACGCCATTCTCCCGCGTACACCTCAGTGGCCGAGCCCTCGATGAGGGCGGGCGGCGCTGGGGCCGGCGGCCCGCTGGCCTCGGAACCCGGGGGTCCTGTGCTGCCCACCTCACTGCTCACCTCGCTGCGCAGAGAGCCCCGCTTGCTGCCCAGGGAGCTGCGGCGCCCGCCCGCCCGGAGCCCGCTGAGCAGCAACGAGCGGCGGAAGAAACCGCCGGCCGCAGGGGTGCGCTTTCGGGAGGCCGCGCCATCTGCGTCCCCGGGCCCAGCCAACACGAAGCCTCCCCGGGAGCCTGAGGCCGGGCTGCCTCCCTCGTCGCCCGGCAGGGGCAAGGGCGGAGGTGGCGTCGGGGGGTCGCTGTGGCCCGAGTCCAGGGAGGTGCGGCGGGGCGAGCGCAGGAGCGCCGCCTGATGGTAGGGCACACTCTGGCGCACCCCGTAGCCGTGGCGCTTTCCGGCCTGCCACTGGCCCTGGTAGGTGCCTGCGGGAGGGGCAGGGGTAGGAGAAAGAGTCAGGATCCGCCCCTACTTGCATCCCAGGCCCCCAGCGCCCCTGGCAGCCAAAGTGACGGGTGCGAGAGGTAGGGCCAGTTAGCGTGGAGATCCGAGAAGACAACTAGGAGCTTGGGTTAAGCCAGACTAGGTGGCAAGATGCAAAAGAGCTGAATGTAGGCAGGCAGGCAACAGGAGGTCCGTGGATATTGGCAATATGGACAGAGTGGGGGGTGGGGAGGAAGAAGAGAAACAGGCAGATAGGAGAGCCTTGGAACAGGCAGACAGATAAGCAAATGGCGGTATGAGGAATGGAGAGAGGAACTGTGACAGGCCCTCTAAAAGAGAGTGAGGGACAGGTAGACGACCAGAGGTATGAGGGATAAGCAGAAATGCAAGAGATAGGCATGTGACAGGCAGACAGGACTATCTATGCGGCGCAAGCTGACTGAAAAAGTATGAGGGAACAGGTAAAGTGGAGGTGTGAGGGACAGGCAGATAGAGGGGAGGTGTGGGGGACAGGCAGCCAGGGAAGAGGTGGGGCAGGCTGGTTAGGGACTGGAAAAGCAGGCAGCTTGGGGACAGATAAATGAAGGCTTGTGTGTGTGGGTGTGGGGGGGCGGCTAGAAAGATGGACGCGGGGGGCATATTGATGGGGAAGGCATACGCGGGACAGGCCGACCGGGAGGCGCACGCGGCGCACGCAGACTGGCAGACAGACAGTGGGCTAGGCCCCGCACCTCCGTCGGAGTAGGTCTCGGTGCCGTAGCCGTCCTGGAAGCCGTCCTTCCAGAGCCCGGCGTAGCGCAGGCCGGACACGCTCTCCCACACGCCGCTGCGCCCCTTCAGCCCGCCCAGCCACTCGCCGCGGTACGTCCAGCGGCTCTTGCGCTCCACGCCCAGCCCTTCGCGCTTGCCCTGCTGCCAGTGGCCCTGGTAGCTGTGTCCACCGGGCCCCGTGAAGACGCCCAGTGATTCGAAGCCATGCGCCCAGCAGCCACTGTACTCGCCCTGGGCGCCAGGCCCGGTGCACACGCCGTAGCCATGTGCCCGCCCCGCCTCCCAGCCCCCCACGTAGCAGCCCCCGTCGTCAAAGTCGAACTTGCCCCCGGGGGACATGCATGTAGTTGGCGTGGTCTCAGCCCCCCAGCGGCTCAGAGCATCCTGGGGCTGGAGAGCCGGCTGGGGGCCTGGGAATCGGGCGAGGCCTGGGGGCGGGGGCAGTTAGACCGGGGCCGGGCGGGGGAGCCCCAGCGCGGGCAGGCAGGGCTGGACCCTCATCCTGAGTGGCTGCGGAGAAAGGAGGGGAGTGTCGAGAGAGGCCCCTCCTCTTTGCCCGCCGCTCCCAGGCCTAGTGGCTTCGGGACACCGGCGCCCCCCCCCCCGCCGCCCCAGGCAGCATCTCTCAGCAGCTCCCAAGCTTTGAGGGTACCAGGGGTCCCCCACCCTTCCTCCTTGTAGAGGGCCCCTTCCAGGGCTGGGGCCCAGCCCCAAGCAGGAGTCCCACTTCTCCAACCCAGAACCCCAAAGTGTCGAGTGCCGAGCGTGGATGACAGTTTGGGGGGTCCTGGGAGGCGGCTGGGCAGGGTCTGAGGCCACCCCCTTTCCTGGCTGCTTTTAGGACCTTTCCGCCTGGGTTCTTTGGCTTCCCTGCCAAAGTGGGGGAGGGGAGAGGGATTGGCGCAAGGTGGGCAGGGGGTTTGGTGGGAAAGGATGGGGATGGGGGACGCTCTCCAGGGAAAAGGCGAGGACGGGGATGGGCAGACAGGCGCAAGGGAGGGGGCCGGCTACTCACCATGTGGGCTGGGGCTCAGGCTGCCTCCTAAGGATAACATCCATGGCTGGATACCTCCACTCCCACTTCACCCTGGACCAGCAACCCCCTCCCCTTCCGGAGAGACTGTTCCAACCCAGAGCGCGAAGGTGGGAGAGCCGCGGGCGAGAATACCCTCTCTCCTCAGATCGAGAAGCAAGCTGGAGGTGGGGAGGGGGTAGTGGCAGTGATGGGGGGAAGATGAGAATAGTGTAGGAAAAAAAAATCTGCCTTGGATGGAGATAAGGAAGAGGATCTGGAAGCTGGGTGGGAAGGGGGAGGGAGCTATCAAAAGGGGGTGTTTTTATTATTTTTTTTCTTCTTATGGTTGGGGGAAGAAAAAAAAATCAAAATTCTGATTCCATCCCAGCACAAATCAAATCAATGTTTGCTCCATCCCAGCATCACGGGGGAGGCTGGGCTAGGCAGATTTAAAGGGGCAGGGAGAAGAGAGAAGGAGAAGAGAGGGCGGGGAGAGGAGGAGATAAATGGAGAGAGATGGTGGCGGAGGTGGTGGTGGGGATGCCCGGGCTGAAAAGGATGGGTGCTCGCTAATCTTTCGTAGAGGGAGGAGGCGGACCAAAAAGCAGAATGGGAGGCACAGAGACACCCCCCCAGGTGGCAAGAAACCTTGGGATGGGGCAGGGAGTAGGGTGAAGCCAGAAGAGGGGAGAGGAGTGAGGGGGAGGAGACTGAGCTGAAGATGGGGAGGCAGGGGGAGGCCGAAGCCAGGCGGGGGAGGAGAGATGCTGGCGAGGCCCTGAGAGGGCTAGAGGAATACAAAGAAAGAGGTGCAGCGGTGAGAGCTAAGGAGGGGGGAGATACAGCGCCAGAGGGAGGAAAAGAGGAAGACCCATTCTGGGGCTGGTGAAGGATGGCGAGGAGGAGAGGAGCCGGGGAAGAAGAGAAGTAGGGGAAAGAAAGATAATGGAGACTGAGAGAGGAAGGGCGAAAGCTCTGCACAGGGAAGGGCAGGAGTGGGTATAGAAATCCAGGCACGAAGAGCCCAGATAGAGGCAGGAGGACCGGAAGTGGTGTTTGTGGGGTCCTGGGGAGGAAGGAGAAACCCAAAGCTCTAGCCCTGACAGCTGCCTGGACTGACATCAGAAAGCCTTTGGGCGTGGATGCCTGTGTCCGCTGAGTCTGCTGCCCTCCCTAAGGAAGCTGCTAGAGGTGGACCAAGAAGCTCACCTACTTGTACTATCTGAGGAAGCTTGAAATGGGGTCCTGCCACGAAACCTGGCCCCACCAGTACTTATCCAGTCCTCAGCTCCCCAGCCCCCCCTCAATTGTTTATCCTTGGGTTGTTCCTGTGAAGGGGAGGGGGGGGATGAGGGGTATATTGTTTTTGAATGAGGAACAGAGGACCATGCTTGGCAATGCCATGAAGATTACAGGGTTTTGAGCCTTCCTTCCTCTTCTGCAAACCTAGAGGCAAAAACACACAGATATGTTTGGGTGGGACCTTGTTTCGTGTGGCAAAGACCCCCTCCAGCGTACACTCTTCTTCATCCACCCACCTGAGGGGCAGCATATCCTTGGCCTTACTGTTTCCAGGTAGAAGCAGGCAGGCACACACTGCCTCTCCTCCCCCCTCAGTTTACTGAGTCTTTGTGTTCAGTTCCATCCCTGCCCCTAAGGGTTTAGGGAAAAGGCCACTGTGTCTAATTACACTCTGTGGGGTAGATTGTCAAATGCACTCAGTTGCTTTCATTTTCATACAAAGTCTGGTTTTACAGAGCAGAGAACTGAGGCCCAGAGGGGAAGTCACTCACCAGCAGAGGTGGCAAATTTGGGATTAGAACACTAGATTTCAGATCTTTTGAACCTGGCTGCTCTTCCCAGGATTCTATATATTTGGGAACCTCTCTTGGACTCGGAAACTCCATTTTGAGTACTTTGGTAAAACAAAGGGTATGAGATTTGGAATAAACAGGAATTTCCTTTGCCTTGTGTTTTCTGAAAGGTGGATATGAAGTTGGAGAAACAAGTAAAATTTAAGCCTCCAGAGCCAAGACTACATCTTCTAAGTGCCTAGCACAGGACAGGGCAGCCATATGGTGACACATTTAGGCCCTATTGGGACAAGACTGTTGGCGGAGAGTCTGTTCATCTACCCATCCACCTACCCATCCATCTATCCATCCATCCACCCACCCATCCATCCATCCATCTACGCATTTTGCCATTCATCAAACGTTCAATTGGTTTATTGAGTATCAGACACATTGCACTTCTTTTTCAAAGGGTGCACCAGCTCTTTCTGTCCAGGTGCCTCAGAGAAGGGACTTGACATTAAATGGAACAGTTCTGTGCTAGGAACTGTGCTTGGCATCCTGTCTGTATTACCTCATTCAATCCTCACAATAAAGCTAATTTTGAGCAGCTGAGGGTGGAGGCCAAGAGCTAAGCTTTCAAAGATGGACAGACATACGTTTGAATCCTGACTCTACCACTTACTAGCTGGGTAAACCTGAGCTCCATACATAATATGTTTGAGCCACAGTTTGCATATCTCTGAAATGGGAATAATATAACCTAGTCCGTGGTGAATTGTGAAGATTGAGATTATCATGTACAAATAAAATGCATAATGATATATTGGAGGAAAAACCACTTGGCATATTGCCTCTCATATAGTAAATACCCAGTACATGGTGGCTTGAAAAATACGTTAGCATTATACCAGTTTTATAGATGAGGAATTCACGTGGTGGTTAAGTTAGCGTGTGAACTTGGCTGGGCCTGGTTGAGTGGCTGGGCAGCTGAATGTAGTTATTCTCCATGGTAAGACTGGCAATTAACTCCATGGTGGAATCTATTGGAGCAACGAAGTAGCTGCTTTGGGTATGTGGTCTGCTTCCTGTATATAAGAAGTAGCTTTGGGAACAGTCTCTAGTTTATGGTGCGCTTGAACCCTGCATGCAGCCATGTCACTGTTCAACAGCCTGCCATACTCTGCCGCCCTTGGAACTTTCAATGGACTTGAATTAATGGCCTGCCGTGTGGTTTGGTAACATTGGGACTGTGCCTTTTTACTTGTCAACCTTGGTCTTGTCAGCCTCAGCAACCAGCAGCTATCTGGATGGAAAGATGCCTCTAGCTCCAGTGGGCCGAGAACAGGAGGTAGAGCTGAAGCCAAGGTTGAGGGGCTTTCATCTAGCCCCTAGAGCCTGGTGCTTTGAACTTGGACTTAAAGCCTCTGAACTTTAAGAGAATAAACTCGTTTGTTCAAGCCATCCCATTTGTAGTATATCCTTTTCAGAGCAGTACTAGGTAACCAGAACAATCTGAGATCCAGAAGTTAATTTGCTCGGTGTTGCATAGCTACTATGTGGCAGCCCCTGGATTTGAATAGATTTCAGACTACCAAATAAGTGTACTTTAACAAGCGTAGTTTTTTTGGCTTGTTTATAAATGTAAAACATGATCATTGTAGAATTAAAAAAATATGGTACAATATCGAGAATAAAAATAAAAATCACCCACAGTCTCACTGGATAACAAACATTTCAGTATATTTTCATAGCCTTCTTTTCTGTGCACTTTTATTGGACATAATTAGTTAAATGCTGCATATATATTTTTGTATTCTACTTGTTCAGTTAGCATTACATTGTAAGCATGTTTTTTTATGTCATTAAAATGTCCTTGAATTTTTAATGGCTACATAATATTCCACTGTTTGGGTACACCATAATTTGTTGAACCATTCTAGCATAACATTTTTAGGTTGCTTGCAATTTGTTTTGCTATTAAAAATTAACATGTTTGTATAAAAACTCTTGCATCTCTGATGATTTCTTTAAAAAAATGTTTATTGTGGAAAGTTTTGAACATATACCAAAGTAGGCGAAACAGAATAAAGAACCCCTATGTCCTGGTCACCCAGATTCAGCAATGGTCACTCTTGGAAAATCTTGTTTCTTCTTCCCCCATTCTTTCAGATCTCAGGTATCATGTTTTTCCAGTCTAATGATTTCTTACAGTGGGATTCTTAAAAGTAGAATTACTGGGTCAGAGGATAGAAACTTTTTTGTCTGTTTGTTTAAATTTTGGATTTGCTTTGCCAGATCACTTCCAAAAAGGTTGTAGGAATTTACATTCCGCCAATCCTGCCTGAGAGTACTGGTCTCATTGCATCCTGCATTGAACTAGATCATATTGCCTCCCCCTCCACATATGTTTTTGCCAATATGACTAGTGAAAAATGCTATCTTTATAGGCATTGTTTGATTGATTGCCAGGCTTATATTAAGAAGACACTGATATCTCCATTGGAGCAGACCCTCCTGCAGGAACCCTAGGAAACACTCTGGCATATCCTGGGGATATCAGTCAGGGCCTGTTGGGTGGCAGTACATCTTTCCAGCGGTACTGGGACTAGCTAGCTTCCCCCTCCCACCAGGGTAGCCAGGAGTTTGGGTTAATCTCTCTTCTCATGCCATAGGTAGCCACCAGGGGTCAGGATGGGGCTAGAGATCTCATCAATGGGAGAGGCTCAGAATGGCCATCTCCAGGCTGCATTTCCTCTGTCTGGCCACTGAGGGCTGGACATGCAGCCTCCCTCCTTTCCTTTGATCATGATGCCAGAATGTTCTGAATGGCTGTCCTTTCCTGCCTGACCACCCCTGCATTTCAATACTCCCCGATTTTGCTGACAAGAAGAAGGGCCTGGCAGGAGCTACTTGAGTAGTGCTTCCACTTCCTTCTCTACATGTCTGTGGGACTGGGGTCACTATGGACCAGGGACTTTTAGCTTGAGGTCTGTGGACTGAGTAACCCAAGAATGGGCTTTGTTGTTGAGAGAGAGAGGGAGAGAGACAGAGAGAGACAGAGGGAGAGAGACAGAGAGGGAAGGGGAGAGAGAGGGA